TAATTCATCATCCTGGTTTCATTAAAGAGTTGTTCTAGATGCTGATGGCTGTGGGCAGGAAGGATCTCTTGTAGCGTCTGTCTTACAAGGGATCTGAAGAAGTCTCTGGCTGAAGACATATATATATATATATATATAAATATTAAAATAGATTAATGTATATATGCATAAACAAATATAAAGTTCTTGTTGTAGGTTTTGGTTCTTTGTTAAAAACAAAAATTAAGGAGTATACAGTTTTTCTAAAACTACAGCCACTAAAAAACGCAGCATATGTGATAGAAGCACAGCAGCAGTGTTTGTTTTGCCATTTTTACACGAACCTGGTAATAAGGCATGTCTGTACATTAAAAAAACAAGAATAATTATTAATCCATGTTTATTTTCAAATCAACACTTTAACGTTCACTTGTATCTAAGGAAGGCTGGGGAGGTAAAAAAAGATTAAGGGGTGGAATTAGGATAAGTTACAGCTCATGAGGGACTCCATCAGAGCATCTCTGACACCTCGGCCCTGCTCTCCATCTTGTGGGACAGAGACCAGGACGGGCTGTGCAGCTGGTTCTGCTTCAAGTTCATCGAGGTCATCCATTTTGGTTGTGTGTTGTTTTCCAGCTCTTCTTCTAATGCATGTTAGTGGTGCTTAGAAAAGAGCTTAATGTAGCACTACCGCCACCAGCTGGTAAGGTGCGTTGATATTAATAATCCGCCCACTAGAGGTGAACAATCCGCCCACTAGAGGTGAACAATCCGCCCACTAAACGGGAACTATAGGCAAAGGTGAGACACAAAAATAGAGGTCCCACTAGAACCGGACACAACAGGCTACAACAAGAACCAGACCTGTGGATAAGGGGCTTTAGATAGATCGAAGGAGTACCATTATGTTGAACACATGGCCTCCGATCTGAGAGATAAGTAGCAAACAAACCAATGATGTGATCTGAGAAACCAATGTCTGAGAGCTTAAGACACAAGATGTCATGATCTACAATATCAAAGGCTTTGGACAGGTATAAATAAAGTGCAGCACAGTAATCCTTAGCATCCAGTGCCTCAACGACGTCATTAAAAAACCTTCAGTGAAGCAGTCGTTGTGCTGTGTTGTTTCTTGAAACCAGATTGATAGAGAGGTAAGATGTTAAAAGAATCCAAATACGTCTTGACTTGAGAGTTTATCTTTTTTTTTTTTTTACAAACCTTAGCTAGAATATAGTTTAGAGATTGGTCATTATAAAAGATTGGAGACTGGAATTTCAAAATTGAATTAACATGTTATCTGATTCCAGTTTCTAGTATCTGATCATGTCGGTTTGAACTTTCAGTCATGTGAAACTGAAGTTTGTCTCAACTTATCACCTCCTTCTTCAGGGTTGAAGCCTGCTTTCGTGAGCTTCCTCCTCTTTGCTCTGACCCTGTCTCTGGTCAGTCTGGCAGGCGTTGGTCTTGCCTTCCTTGTCTCAGCGAGTGTGTCCACATTTGCGATGGCTAACATCCTCATTGCTTTACCCTTTGTCTTCATGATGGTGAGATGCAAGGATCTCTTGAAAGAATACACGACACCCAACACCTTTCAGAGTTTTAAACTAACATTATCGTATGTTGAGAAATGATGGAATTGTAGCTGTTTGGGTGAATTTCTCGAATGTAACTTTATGCACAATTTCATGTGATATTGCGAGATCTCGTTCAATGCTAATGCTCACATTATAGGATGACTGTCAGCTACTACCACATCACATTTTAGTTCACTGTCTAAAACTGACAAGGTTACAGCTAAGTGTTTTCTAAGGTCAGGTGGCTGTGGCTGCCACAAGGTAATGAGTTATATGTTATAGTTTTTTTAGAATCCATCCTCTGATTCATGAGATATTTTGCTAACAAACACATAAACAAACACACACATACATAGACACAGGTAACGGAAAGTTTTAAAGCCATGAAGCAGAACCCAACCAAGTTAAGTCAGGTCTTCTGGATGGTTTCTTTTTATTTTCTTTGCTGAGACATTTAATTCTTCATCCAAAGGACTTCATCAGTCCGAGGAGCAACAACAATCTCAACCCCACAAGCAGCACACTCACATAGTGGGCCAACCAGTTTGCTGGTGATAAGGTGATGATTTGAACCACTTTGGCTATGGCTGCCTCAGAGGAGTTGACGGGGGAGAGAGCAGACTCCAGAAACCATCATATCGCCGTCAAACTGGTTGGCCCACTATGTGAGTGTGCTGCTTGTGGAACTGAGCTTGTTGTGGCTCTTTGGACTCAAGAAGTTCTTTGGATGAAAATGAAGGACGAAACGTTTCAACAACAACAACAACAAAAAAAGAAACCATCCAGAGGACCTGATTTAACGTTGTTGGATTTTTTTACCTGGATTATTGAGCATGAACTTTGACTTGTAGCAGATTATCATTCTCAGTCTAACTCACCTGTTGTAGGTGTTCGGAGGCTATCTGGTCAACCTCAACGCCATGCTGAGCTGGCTGTCCTGGCTGAAATGGGTCAGCATATTCAGATACGGACTGAATGTAAGAAAAGCATCGTGCGGGGCTCGGTTTATTCTGGCTCTGTCCGTGAGTTGCCTCAACCCGGCATCTTTTTGTCTCGCAGGCTGTTTACATCAACGAGATGAAAGGACGGTTGTTCTACAGCAACGCCACAATGTGAGTTTATTCACAGGCAGTTTTAAAGTCAGTGAAAAGTCTTTTGATGGTGAAGGTCTCTCCTCTGCGCCGCAGAGTCCCAGGGGAAGTGTTCCTGGTGAGCATGGACATCGACTACTCTGTGTGGGGCTTCTGGCAGAACCAGGTGGCTCTGCTGGGAATTATTGTTGTCTGCATGATCCTGGCCTACGTGCAGCTGCTACGAATCAACCGCTGGAAGTGATTCCTGCCCATCTGTTCACGTGCACAACCATGCGTGACTGTGCGCATTTAACAAAATGAAAGTAACGTTACGTGATGTTTTATATGTTTTATATGTTTTGATTGGATGTGGGTATCTTGTTGTGTAAATGATTATAAAAATTCAATTTTTTTTTTTTTTTACAGTACACGTGGAGTGTCACGCTCGCCGACACACTCACACGTGTCGTAACGTTTGACTCTCTGGCTGATAAGCTGCTGTTTAACACACTCGCTGTGCACAAGGGAGTGTAAGGAGAGGCAAGCCCTCATTCCAAAGCTACTTATGGAGAGTGAGCTAACATTAGCTGCAGGAAAGACAGTAAGGACATGGAGTTCATCTTTATACGTCCTTTTTCAGCAGGCAAAGCCCAACACAATTTTCCTTTTATTGAACAAAAAAACATTGTTTTCAGGGTTAAATAAAACATATATTAATATGCAAACACAGGTTATGAATGTGAGTCATTATGAGTGGGGACATGCAGCGAGCTACAGATAATTGATCATACGAAAAGCATCAAAAAACAACAATTTCCCTTTAATTTCTCCTAAAGAGAGAGCTCAGATTTTTTTTAAGTGGAGTTCAATATGAACAGTTAATATCTTACCTGTTGTAGACAGATTTTTGAATGATTCATCATCATATTTCTGCAAGAATAATAATTTGATGTGAATCAGACCGCACTGCAAACGTTTATAAAATCATGCAGGTATGAACCACTTTGAGAATTTTTTTTTTAATTGGAGGTGGTTCAGGGTGGCAGTAATCCATTTTGGTTCTGACTCAGATCAGACTAGCTGCTAGCGCATCGAATCCATCAGAATTAAGCTGTATTTCTCCAAACTGATGTCAGCGATAGAGCCATCTACAGCAGGTATGATATTATTTAATTATGCCCATTCCACGGCTCCTCACTTCAAAAGATCTGATCTCTCTCTTCACAGGAGTTTGAATGGATAAATAGAATGTGCAGTTCTCTGTGATCTTTGCAGAACTTATGTGGTCAAGGTATCGAACCGTCATGTTTAGGGTTTCATAAAAAGCACATTTATTTTTTTGGTTTGTTTTCTCGTTCATATTTTTCCACATTTCTTCAAGACAAGCATGTGATTTTGTTTTCTGAAGCTTATTTTTGATCTTTTCAACTGCAACTCATTATATAGAATGGTCTTTCCAAGTGATGGACCCGCCTCTCGCACAGTAATGGCTGGACTTGGGCACCAGTAACACCACCCCCCCCCCACCCCCCCACCCCCCGGCCCCAGACCCGAAAATTAAAAAGCTGGTAAAGATAATGGATGGATGTCTTTCCAAGCACTTTCAAGCTGGTTCTGTACAACACTGTTAGAAAAAAATTGGTTTAAATAACAAGAAAAAAATATTTCAGTAGTTTTTTTTTTTTACCCCTGCAATGTTTCACTCAACTGCTATCTGAATATGTAAAGATGTAATGTTCACATTTTTCTTTTAATTTCATTTTTGAAATAAAATGAATCACGCCTCAGATCTCTTTAAATTCCTTTAAGTCATCGCAGACACGTGAACACTGTTACAGTCATCGACGTTCAGAAGCTTCAATTTAAAAGTCTCATTTTTTCTGTTGTTTTTTTTTAAAACTCAGATTCAATAAAATGACTTTAAAAAAATAAAATAGTTTGACGCAAATCTAGGTTTTGATAAGCCAAATGAAAGAGCTACGAGTTTAACATGACAGGATGTTTCTTTGAATCCAGTAGAATAAGACAGTTCTTTTATTTTGGAGACATACGTAACACGAGAACATCCAACAAAAACGAGCTCATTCTGTTTTTATTAATTTTTAACAACTTTTCAGACCGTTTCCACTCTTGTTTGTGATTTTCCCAGTCGTTACTGGTTTGTTCTCCAACCCACGGAGCCACTCTGTGCACTTCAGCACCACGTGCTCGTCCACAGCGAGGTCCTCCTCTTCCTCATACTCCACATCGTCATACTTGTGTTTGTCGTTCAGAAGGGAGATCTTCACAATGGAGCTTATGTCTTCCAGCTCAGCACTGTGCATGTTCTTGGCACCAGCGCTGCCATTGAAAGCTCCATTTCTTTGGGTTATGGATGGCTGTCTCCTCCTTCTGGAATCCGTGGCGCTCCCAGAAGCACCAGCTCCACTTGTAGTGTTTCTGGATCGCTGGTGCCTCTCGCTGTTTCTCCGCTGCAGCAGCAGAACCGCTTCAGGTGTGAGCGTCAGCGTAAAACGAGCTTCTTCTCGAGTCCTCGTTCTGGCCTTCACCAGAGGTTCAGTCTTCGTTGCAGAGCTGTGGCCTGCAGGTTTGTGCTGCAGAGACGCTCCTGAGCTTGAGCTGGGGGTGCTGTCGGTCTGTGACGATGGCAGCCCGCGGTCTCTTTTGTTCGGAGCTGCAGAAACCCCTTTAGCTGATGTTAGATGACTGTTGAGTTGACTCTTCCTCCCCAGCTGCTTCAGGTTTAAAGTTAGCCTCTCCTTGACTGAGCTTCCTTTGTCGTATCGTTGGACTTGAGTTTTGGCCACGGCGCTTGTGAACGAAGCACCGCCTGGCCTCTCCTTCCCCGTCAGCCCTGACACGGAGCGTGCGACTGATACTTGTGGTATGAACGGCATTTTGGCAACACACAGAAGCAAGTATGAGAAGAGTTCAGCTTTGTGGAGAAAAAAGAAGGAGGGCACCATAGAGGAAACCAGTTTACAGAGGGGAGAAAAATGCTCTGTCGATTCCTTGGCCATGCAGGTCAGCAGGAAACTAATGCATCGTCTGCCCTGGAGCGGTAAAACCCCGACTTTTTATATCCAAGGAGCAAAGTGGGTGTGACAGAGCCTGCTTTAAAAGACAAGCCCGCCTTCAGAAGATGAGAATAAAAGGCTTCTGCCGCATCTTAAATGCTCATTACTGGCAGGCTCAAAAGTCTAAAATAAACCAACGCTTGTAATCCTTCAGTCTGATCAGTGAGAGCATGTTTACTACACATCAAGTGCACATGCAGACTCTAATCCAGGCTGGCCAGGTTTACTGAGCACAAGAGGCAGAAAATTAGACGAGAGCTGTCAAGAACTGGAATCCATGCTAGATTTTCTGTGTATGCACACAGGTTTGTAGTGGTCATGTAATTAGAATATCATGAAAAAGATGATTTCAACAACTCCATTCAAAAAGTGAAACATGTATATTATATTCATTCATTACACACAGACTGATATATTTCAAATGTTTATTTATTTTAATGTTGATGATTGTAACTGTCAACTAATAAAACCCCAAATTCAGTATCTCAGAAAATTAGAATATTACTTAAGACCATCCATCCATTATCTTTTACCCGCTTTTTCCATTTTGGGTCACAGGGGTCTAAAGACCAATTAAAACAAAAAATATATATATTTTTAGAAATGTTGGCCAACTGAAAAGTATGAACATGAAAAGTATGAGCATGTACAGCATCAATACTTAGTTGGAGCTCCTTTTGCCTGAATTACTGCAGCAATGTGACATGGCATGGAGTCGATCAGTCTGTGGTACTGCTCAGGTGTTATGCGAGCCCAGGTTGCTCTGGTAGTGACCTTCAGCTCTTCTGTATTGTTGAGTCTGGTTTATCACATCTTCATCTTCACAATACCTCATAGATTTTCTATGGGGTTAAGGTCAGGCGAGTTTGCTGGCCAATTAAGAACAGGGATACCATGGTCCTTAAACCAGGTACTGGTAACTTTGGCACTGTGTGCAGGTGCCAAGTCCTGTTGGAAAATTAAATCTGCATTTCTATAAAGTTGGTCAGCAGCAGGAAGCATGAAGTGCTCTAAAACTTCCTGGTTGATGGCTGCGCTGACCCAGGACCTCAGAAAACACAGTGGACCAACACCAGCAGATGACATGGCACCCCAAACCATCACTGGCTGTGGAAAATACACTGGACCTCAAGCAATGTGGATTCTGTGCCTCTTCTTTCCTCCTCCAGACTCTGGGACCTTGATTTCCAAAGGAAATGCACAATTTACTTTCATCAGAAAACATAACTTTGGACCACTCAGCAGCAGTCCCAGGCGAGAGGCTTCTGACGCAGTCTCTTGCTCAAGAGTGGCTTGATACAAGGAATGTGACAGCTGAAACCACTTGTCTTGCATACTTCTGAGTGTGGTGGTTCTTGAAGCACTGACTCCAGCTGCAGTCCACTCTTTGTGAATCTCCCCAACATTTTGGAATGGGTTTTGTTTCACAAGCCTCTCCAGGGTGTGGTTATCCCTACTGTTTGTACACTTTTTGTCTACCACATCATTTCCTTCCCTTCGCCTGTCTATTAATGTGCTTGGACACAGAGCTCTCTGAACAGCCAGCCTCTTTAACAATGACCTGTGTGTCTTGCCCTCCTTGTGCAAGGTGTCAATGGTCGTATTTTGGACAACTGTCGAGTCAGCAGTCTTCCCCCATGATTGTGTAACCTACAGAACTAGACAAACCATTTAAAAAGACTTTCACAAGCGTTTTGAGTTAATTACCTGATTAGAGTGTGGCACCAGGTGTCTTCAATATTGAACCTTTTCTCAATATTCTAATTTTCTGAGATACTGAACTTGGAGGTTTCATTAGTTGTCAGTTATAAACAACATTAAAAGATAAATAAGGGTGCACCGATAAATTGGCCGGCCGATAAATCAGCCCCAATTTCCTTAATTTTGGGAAATCGGCCGATACATGAGAAACTGATTTTACCAATTTTTTTTTAGTTTTAACAATAATTGTCTGAACTTCATTTATATTTCAGAGCACTACCTCATGGCCAGTTAAAACAAGTTTGTTTTGTTCCTAGGATATTGTTCAAGGGCATGTTTTTCAATAAAACAACATTGGTGCATTGTGACCTTATAAAAACACCTGACAGTGTCGCTTATAAAACAAAATCGGTATCGGCAGGTCAGACTTTTTAGAAATCGGTGATCGGCCAGAAAACTGCAATCGGTGCACCCCTAGAAATAAAACATTTGAAATATATCAGTCTGGATGTAATTAATGAATATACAAGTTTCACTTTTTGAATGGAATTACTGAAATAAATTCACTTTCACAATATTCTAATTTCATGACCAGCACCTGTAAATGTTTAAAACAACATGTTAGGCTGCCTTCAGGCCTAGGCCTCCCTTACAAAAAGATTGGGATTTTAGGTTGTTGTTTTTTTGTATTTGTTTTATTTATTCATTCATTTTTTTTTTTTTTTTTTTTTTTTTTTATTAACCATGGAAAAAGTGTCAGGAAATACACATTTCTTTAAGGAATGCCAGGCCTTTAAGTTCCACACCATTTAAACCAATAAAAGAACGTAAAAAGTAAAAATTAGTAGATCTTTATTTGCAGCACATATTCACAATTAAGTCATTCAAGTATTAGCTTTGTTTTAATAAACAGAATAAAAATTCTGGTCTAGAAAACATTTATTAATTTTTCACATCATAAAACACGACTAAAAGCTGCTTAAACGTCTTATACGTACAGGCCAAGAACACATTTCTTTGCTTAGTTGACCTTCACAAGAGCTGAAGGTTTTCATTTGCAGCATCTCCTCCTGTGAATATGAAGAACACGTTTACAGCGAGGACAAGTGTGGTAGACATCCTTGAAGTGGTTCACAAAAAATGGAATCAGGCAGCAGCCAAGAAACAACCTGAAAAAAACAAACAAATGAAATTGAACAACTTTTGTGATTACTGTATTTTTGGATTATAAGGTGCATTAAATAAAACAAGTTCATTTTGACAGATTTTTGAGCGCCAGGTACCACAAATTAAGGTTTGAGGTCATTGAGCTCAAACAAAATTAATACATAAAAAGGTGCACCGGATTATAAGTCTAACTGTTGATTTGAGAAAATTAAAAAGGATAAGTGCATCCTAGTCCTAAAAATCTGGTAAGTAATTAGTGCAGGTTGGTTTTAAAAAAAAATTTAACGAGTCTTTCTCACCCACACAACACAAACACAAGGCACATGAGCCAGGCGTAAATCCCCACTTTAAAGGTGACCTCTGTGGTGACCTGCGTCTGACAGGACGGGCATGTCCTTAGTACTGGAGTGCAAAAAGGTTTGGTCTCGTAGATCACGAACACCGGCCCAGAAGCTACAGAGATTATAAGAGCAGAGCGAATGGTGATTGTATGGATTAACCTTTACAAATCGTAGTCAACAAAGTAAATGCGATGGTTCGGTCCGCTTTATCTCATTGTATCAGTTTCAACTTTCACCTTGTGGTGGTGATGAGGATGGTGGAGGATTAGGAGAGTGAATGTGCAAGACTGCCGCATTTTTAGCAGAATCACCTTCTGGAAAGAAATAGACATTAAAAAAAATTAATATAAAACAGATTGGAAAAGTGTAGTACAATATAAAATAGTGGGGGAAGTGACTCGTCTTGTTAAGAGGACTCAGTCAATGAGAAAGTAAGTATTGATGAAGTACACACAAACACACCAGAGGAAGCTTAAATGTGCAGCAACATTAAAATCAGACTATATTTCAACTCATAACTGAGAAAACAAAAAGTCCACAACAAAAAAAAAAGTGATGATCAGACCCACTTTAAATCATTAGAGATGAATTTTAAACACTCACCAGGTAGTGGTGAGAAGACAGGAGGTTGAAGAGGACTGAGAGACGTGTTGACATGGTAAATGCTCGCACGTTTCCCAAACTTCCCCTCTTCTGGAAAGAGTCAGTAATGCAATATTAGCTATGATGATTATTATTTCAGGCCAAAAAATAAATAGATTTTACTCTTAACCTCATAAAAAGCATGCTGGGGGATGTGACTCACTTTGGATGATGCCATTAAACAAAGTGATAAAGTACCACAGAGAGAGGGAAAAAAGAAAAACTCAAGTCTGTTTTAATGTTTTTATACAGCAGCAGCTATATTTAATATGTGCAATTACAAGAAACTGGTTAAAAGCCTTTTACCCATAATTCAACGGCAGCACGACCTTTAAAAATCAGAGCGTCTCAACAAATTGCCTCTACTTAGTGGGAAAAGTAATCTAGTGCAACCCAAATGCACTAGAAGCCTTTCAAAAGTTGTTTTTAATGGATTAGATACATTTCTGAAAATTGGAATCAAATAAGTTTACACCTAGAAAAGTATACTTTCCCCAAAGATTATTGCATTAACTCCAAGCTCAAAAAACAGTCTTAAAATAATAAAGCTACTGAATCTACTATCTGTGATTGATTCCAGACTGTTCATTTCTATCAAACACAAAAATGTCTATAAACCCAATCAATTATTTAGATAGAGATAAATGTATCTGGTAGCTGAAAGTCATCCTCAACTCATCAAGCACCAAGACGTCTCAAGATTTCCCAGTATTGCGCAAGATGGTGACGTTATTTACGAGGTTTGAGCAATGTTTAAATAAAAACGTTAACTGGTTTTTAAAGAAAATTAAATTAAAAAAAAGGACTTGATTCATGCACTATGTTGGATTTAGACTACAAAAAAAAAAAAAAAAAATCCAAAAACAGACATGATAATGTTTTTTTATTTTTATCAGTTACTTATTTGCTTTTCAGGTGTTTGTAACCCAATGAAAAACACATTTCTAGCATACGTTTGTATATTTAGAAATTATTATATTTCCTAAAATAGTTTATGAATTAAAAACATAACCAGTCATAAAAAAAATACCATTAAAATGTGACAATTTATCAATTCATAATCAGACGGAACAAAAAAATCCCTTCCTGAAAATAAAGAAAGAACAAAGACACACAGTGAAGATCAGCTCATCTCTAACCAGAACCTTCTTTACGGATTTATCGTAGAACTCACCTGGTAGCAGCGAGAACGCAGGTGGTGCTGGAGACCTCACTGGTACGTTGACAGGGAGAGTTTTCCCATCTTGCTCTGATACACTCCCTCCTGGAGAGGACTTGTACATTTTTAGCTTCACTTTTTTTTTCCTAGCTAAGAAAACCAAACAGTGAGTGACATGTTTTAGTCTGTTTTACCTGACAAAGGGAACGGAGGAGGGGTAGGAAAGGTTTCTTCAGCTTTTGAATCCATTGAACCACGTAGGTGAAGCACCACAGAACAAACTCAAAGGTGTTTTAACCTCAGCAGCTACATCTGAAGTCCCACCAGGTGCAGTTAATGAGCTCTCCTCAGATTGGTTACAAAGCCATGATTCAATGGTGGCACAGACTTGGAAATAGGAAGGAAGTCTAAAATGTGTGTTTTTTTAATTAATTTAAGAATTTTTACATCAACCTAAAATCATTCCATGCCTTTAAGCAACACTTTGTTTAACAAAGTGCAAATAAGATTACATGTTCAATTTCCTGTTATACTTAACCAAAATGATCAGTAGCTAATTTTGATGGATGCAGAGGTCTATCTGCACTGATTACAGATCAGCAGTCCTGCAGAGATAAATGAAGCAAATGTTGAGGCAAGAGAGGAGTAACTAAAGTCTTTTTTTTTTACTGAAGTGTAGGGGTTAACGCTATTTTCAATTCAATTCAGTTCAGTTTATTTCTATTGCAGCAAGTCACAACAGAAGTCATCTCAGGACACTGAACAGAAACATTCACATATATATAAAGTAAGTTAATAACCCAAAAAGTTCAATCTGGTCCTCTGGACATTCAAAAAAAAAAACAAATATAGAAATGTTTCATCTCTCATCCAAGAGACTTCCTCAGTCTGAGGTGCTGTTTTCAGCTCAGTCTCTTAACTAGCACCTTCCCAGAGTGGATCAACCAGTTTTGCTGCTGACAACCAAAACCAGCTGATCACATGCTCAAGAAGGACCATCAGCCTAACAATGGGTCATTAGCACACTGATGGCTGTTTACTACTCACAGAGGGCTGAGTGATACTAGCAATCACAGCATTGTAAGAGGGGGACAGTTGAACCCGGAGGCCTCCACCCCTGTTTAATGATGGATGATTTCTTTTCACAAAGATGGCCTCCTTTACTCCTCTCTCAAACCATCGTTCCTCTCTGTCCAGGATGTGAACATCTTCATCCCTGAAAGAGTGACCGCTGGCCTGGAGATGAGTGTAGACCGCAGAGTCCTGGCCTGATGATGTTGATCTTCTGTGCTGGTCCATCCTTTTGGCCAGTGGCTGTTTAGTTTCCCCGATGTAAGACTGATCACAGCCCTCCTGACACTGAACAGCATACACAATATTACTCTGTTTGTGCCGGGGGACTGGATCTTTGGGATGAACCAGTCTTTGCCGTAATGTATTTTGGGGTTTAAAAGCCACTGGGACGTTATGTTTAGAAAATAAACGTCTCAGTTTCTCTGATACTCCCTCAACATATGGAATGACCACTGGTCTGGGTCTGGGTTCCTCCTTTTCACCTGTTGGCTGACTGGAGTCCTGTTTGGGTTTCTTCTCTGCTTTCAGGAAGGCCCAGTTAGGATATCCACATTGCTCTAGAGCCTGTCTTGTATAGGATTTCTCCTTCTGCCTGGCTCCTGAGCTAGTGGGGACGCTGTCTGCTCTGTGATACAGAGTCCTGATGACTCCTAACTTGTGCTCCAAAGGGTGATGGGAGTCAAACTGCAAATACTGGTCTGTGTGGGTGGGTTTGCGGTACACCTCAGTTTGCAAATGTCCTCTATCAGAGACTGAGACCTCACAGTCCAAGAAATCCAACCTGCCATTTTTTTCATCTTCTCGTGTGAACTTGATGTATTTATCCACAGAGTTGATGTGGTCAGTAAAATGTTGGACTTCCTGAGATTTAATTTTAACCCAGGTGTCGTCAACATACCTGAACCAATGACTTGGTGGTGTCCCTGAAAAGGACGTCAAGGCTCTCTTTTCTACCTCCTCCATGTACAGGTTGGCAACAATAGGAGAAACTGGAGACCCCATAGCACACCCATGTTTCTGCCTATAATATTGATCCCCATATGTGAAGTAGGTTGACTGCAGGCACAGTTTCAAGAGTTGACACAGTTGTTCTGTGGAAAGCGTGGTCCTGCTGCTCAGAGTGGTGTCTGATTTTAATCTTAAAATCTTGGACTGGACTGGAGACTTGTCCAGGGTGTACCTCGCCCCTCGCACATTGATTGCCGGACATGGGCACCGGCGACCCCCTTGACTCAAAATGGAAGAAGCGGGTAAAAGATAATGGATGGATAATTGTTCACAGTTAAACTTCAAATATTCAGATTCATTGTATAGGCCAATTTAAACTAAAAATAAAAATTAAAGAAAAAGCAAGTTAAAGTGTTTGAAATAACTGTAATAAAGTAATACATTTGTGATCAGGTTGACTTTTGACTGAACAGTAACAACATACTTCAGGATGAACTAATCCTGGAATTAAACCAGCAAACAGGAGTGTTAGCCAGAAGGTTGTAGCATGTGCTCTAAAAACAAATGCCCATGGCCTCTGTAATTCAATAGTTTAAGCCAGGGTTATCAGAAAGCTTAATTTAATTTGTGTGAAATGATAAATAGTCTCCCAGGAACATTTGCATTTGCATGCAAAGCTATAGCTTATTTCTTCGTTAGCCTTAACTTGTTTTGAGAGAAATTTGTGTATAATTCATTTTGTTCGTAGGACACAACTGTGGAAGCCCATTTCCACCAATGAAAAGAAGTTCAAGTTTATTGTCATTGGCATCACATGTGGTACATGAGGTGGAAATGAAATTGTGTACTCAGGGTCCCAGTTACATTAAAAAAGCAAAAATATAAAGTATAACAAGAAACAGTATATAAGGATATAAGATATTCACTAAGGTATAAGCTAAACGAATGCCAAATGGTAGGCTAAGAGATCTAAGGTATACGCTAAATACTAATAATGTAAAATAATATGACGTATCAACAGCAGCCTGAACATGAGTCTGTGTGAGCAGATGGGTATGAATGAATACATTCCATGAGATCAGCAGCAGCATGAGACAGAGATTCAGAGAGATTTATTTGTAATACACACCACACGTGATACATGAGGTGGGACGAAACTATGTACACAGGTTCCCAGCTAAATCCAACAAAAACACAAATTGTAAAGAAAAACATTAGTAAGATCAGGGTCATTAATTAAAAATATACTACATTCACTAAACTAAGAATACACTAAGCACTAATGGTACAAAAACAATGTGCCAAAACAACAGCAGCACGAACATGAGTCTGTGTGAGCAGGTGAAGACTGATGAACACAGCAGCACGAAATAATCAGCAGCATGGATAATCAGCAGCACACATCAACAACCAAGTGGCATTACAGTGATTGTTTCACAGTGATTATTCTGGTTACAGATTCATGAGTCTAACAGCTTCAGGGTAGAAGCTGTTCCTCAGTCTAGTGGTTCTACACTTAATGCTCCTCAACCTCTTGCCTGAGGGGAGCGGGGCAAAAAGTGTGTGCTGGGTGAGTGGGGTCCTTCATGATGCAGGTGGCCATCTCCCTGCATCTGGAGGTGTAGATGTCTGTGATGGTGGGGAGACTGACTCCAACATCTTCTGTGCAGCCTTCACCACTCTCTGCAAAGCTTTTCTTTCTGCAGCTGTGCAGCCTCCGTGCCACACGTTGATGCTGGAGCACAGGATGCTCTCCACTGCACACCTGTAGAAGGAGGTGAGGACTGAGCTTCCCAGTCCAGCTCGTTTCAACCGTCTGAGGAAGTAGAGTCTCTGATGAGCTTTCTTGATCAGGCTGGTGGTGTTGTTGCACCAGTTGAGATTGACATTCAGGTGTACATCCAAGTACTTGTAGCTGGCGACCACTTCCACCGCAGATCCTCTTATATTCGGGGTGGGTGGTGGTGGTGGGGGTTAAGTGTGTTTGTTCCATCTGAAATCCATAATCATCTCCTTCGTCTTCTTCACATTGATGTGAAGGTCCTTCTTTCTGCACCAGCTCTCCAGGTGTTCCACCTCCACCAAAAGAAATAAAACGTACAAAGGTAAGTCATAATTATGAGATACAGTCATAATTTCAACTTTCAAAGTCATATATATATGAGATACAAAGTCATAATTTTGACTTTGTATCTCATATATATATGACTTTGTATATCATAATTATGACTGAAAGTTATTCAACCTTTATTTAAACAGGTTAGTCCCACTGAGCCACGAGAACTGATCTACAAGAGAGACCTGAAAAAGTATGACTTTGAAAGTTGAAATTATGACTTTGTATTTCATAATTATGACAGAGCCTACCATTGGACGTTTTATTTCTCTTCATTGGCGGAAACAGGCTTCCATACCGCTTAGCGCGTATTAAACTTGGAAAGATAATTATTTGCAAGTCACCTGGCATGTTGCTCTTCAAGCCGCTGGGGGCGCTGTTTCACTCCGGTTCCAGTTGATGTGAAACCATCGTGAACCGACGGGGTGATTCAGTCGAATCTAACAGCTTAGCGTGATGATGCTAAGCTAGCTGTCAGCCAGGTAGCCACGGGTTTCGCTGCCGAGTTAGCCACCGGATGATCCCGGTCATATATTACCGGCCGTCTTGACATTCCTTCAACATTCCTGGACGAATTCGTGTCGACTGACCAGAGTCCGCGAATTCAAGTCCACTCCTGATCCGTAGCCTCTCCCCAGACTGTGAGGCTTAGCTCGCCGGCTGACCCGGAGAACCGGACTGACGAGGTAAGTTAGCATGACGGCTAGCGGAATGAAATGAAGCGTCACCTCCGAGGAAACGCCGAGGTCTGAAAACCGGGCACGTAGGCCTCCCGGCAAACTTGTACTTAAAGAGTAGATCATTATATTCTTTCCAAATCGCATTTGACTGCCAAGCCTTTTATCATTTGTACACCTCAAGCTAAAATAATACAGGTTTTAACGTTAATGTTTTATTAGTTGGTAATGATCGGAGTCAGGCAACCAACCCTGTCGTGGCTGTGATTACCCCCAGCTAATCTGGTGCTCATAAAAGTGAAGAAATTACATAATACCGATTTATAAAGATCAAATTTGGGTATATTGTAGTAAGCAAACGTTTCATTGACCACATCGTTTAAACAGAGGCGGCCAGAGCTCAATGTTTCAATAGATTGAAGTTTAGCGGATGAATTCAAGCTAACTGCTACCAAGTAAAACCTGAATATTATGACGTTAAAGTTGTTGTAGAACAGTTTGATGCACTTATGTCGTCATTGTGTGTATGTGCAGTAATATGTGTGGTATCTGGCGCTTTCATCATGTAGGGGTCAGCTGTTTGCTCAGGGACTGCTGTGGCTAGCTGCTAACTAACTAAGTTTTGCTTTGGTGACTGCAGAGGAGTTATTCTCAAGGACCACACCCAGACAAGATGTCCCTTCATCAGTTTCTATTGGAACCCATCACCTGCCACGCTTGGAACCGCGACAGGACACGTAAGGCACAAATATCACTGTATAAAGCACGAGTACCAATTTGAACCCGATTACGACTAAAGCAGTTGTCTGACAGGGTATCGAGTAACAAATCGTTTTCAAAATCGTGAATGAGTTACTGCAAGTGAATAAAATACACCACAGAGCGATTTGTTTTCAGCTTTCATCAGGTTTAGGAATCTAGTCTAACTGGTTTGTTGTCGATGTGTGCATCATCTTAACCTGCTGGTCTCCTCTTCCTTTTGGCTTCAGAGATTGCCATTAGTCCTAACAACCATGAAGTTCATATCTATAAAAAGAGTGGCAACCAATGGGTGAAGACCCATGAGCTGAAGGAGCACAATGGTCACATAACAGGTATGTAATTTGTCTGCTTCAGGAACAAACTTATTGAAATAATCTGGCCCAAGCTGAATCTTTTGGAAGCATTCTGGCCTAAATATTTTGCCGACGATATGGCTGGGGTCATCACATGCATAGAAGTCTCTGCTGACGCGTGCAGTGTTATTAATTTAATTAGTAGATAAGAAGTGTAACAAGTGTCTGAGATGTAATTAAATGTTTGAACAAGCTATTTAAAATGTGAGTTCTTGAATAAATGGATCCTTTTTGCTGCACGAAGGGGGCTTGTCTAGATGTAGAGACAGGTCCTTGAGTCATTCTTTTCTTAATGTTGTTGCACTTATTTGTCCCTTTGCTGACCCATGTTTTCTCATGCCCATAATGAAATGCATCGCAAGAGGATGCAAGTTGTGTTCTACTAATAAGTTTAAGGAAAAAAAAACCATTGGGATGAAATATCTTCATTATTGTGATAAATATTTACTCAAGTTTCTTCTAAATGCTGATAGTTACAAGTCTTGCTCACTGTTTGTCTATGTTTTGTGCTTCAGGTATTGACTGGGCTCCCAAAAGTGACCGTATAGTGACTTGTGGAGCAGACCGTAATGCCTATGTGTGGTCTCAGAAAGAAGGCGTGTGGAAGCCCACACTGGTCATCCTCAGGATCAACCGAGCAGCCACCTTTGTCAAGTGGTCTCCGCTGGAGAACAAGTTCGCAGTTGGCAGTGGAGCTCGACTCATCTCTGTCTGCTATTTTGAGTCTGAGAATGATTGGTGAGAACATTACAACAGTAACTTTTAAAGATTTTTTAATGTGTTCACTTCTTGATGTTCTTTATAACTGAACCATTCAGAGTATTTGGTATTTTTACACTAACATGTAATAGGAATGTGCGATATAAATGGTACACGGTAGAAACGATAGACATTTAGCCCATGATAGAGATCTGTCTTCTACCGGCTAACCACAGTAATGCTGTGTCTGATGTGAAATCAGAGTTGTCAGATTTAATTACTTTTTTTTGTTTGTTGTTGAAAACTGTGCGTAAGTGGTGTTAAAAGTCATTTCTGTGAGAGCTAAGTAGCAAAACAGAAGCTTACTACAGCCGGCTTGCCATAGTGTTACCGTATTCGGACGCATGCGCAAAACGCTGTGTTCCATCGAAAGTTAAAGTAAGCGTTGGTCAGCTTTAGAGAAACCTGCTTTCTGATCTGTGATAAGAATGCTGTGTTGTGTGATTTTACTGCGAGACCCTCTGGTTAAAGCCACAGAAGAAACTAGTCGCCATTTTGTGTCAGCTCTCCTTAAAGTGGAAGGAGACGCCCACTAGAGGGTTGGAGGGTGAAGTGTTTCAGTGTAAAATGCTGCTCTGTTGCTGTTCATTTCTAAAGTGAGAATACTGGAAACTGTTAAGAGTTAACAACATATTATTTTGTTTAAAATATATGGCTAAAACTACATGTGATATATTTTGCACTGTTTTGCACTACAAGAAAGAAGCCTATTTTTTTTTATGTTTTAACTCTCTGGACCTAGTAGTGGAATTTTCTTAATTGAGATTATTTTGTAGTATAGCAGTTTTCAAAATAAATGATGACAATAGACACCCTATGCTTTTTTTTTCCATTCCTATTGCAAGTTTTAAACAAAAACATATTGTGATATATATCGTTATCGCCACCCTTCACGATACATATCGTGATATGAATTTTATACCGTATTGCACATCCCTAATGTGTGATATTGTGTTTTTTTTAAGCAGTGTTAGTTGTTTCATTTACTTTGATTCTATTCTGATTGATGCTATAAAAAGTTCAGATCCAGTTTCCCAATCCTTAAAGACACTGTGTGTTTCTCATGTGGGTCAGGTGGGTGAGCAAGCATATAAAGAAGCCAGTCCGCTCCACCATCCTCAGCTTAGACTGGCATCCCAACAATGTCCTCCTTGCAGCTGGTTCATGTGACTTCAAATGCAGGTATAATTCATGTACAAAAATAAGTTTAAAAAAACAGAGTGCTTAAAAGATGAAGATTGAAAACTGACCAACCTCATTACTTCTCGTGTTTGTTTCCTTCTCCTCGCTCCCCCCTCTCTCTCTCTGGCCTCCAGGGTGTTCTCAGCCTACATAAAGGAGGTGGAGGAGAAACCAGGCCCCACACCCTGGGGTAGCAAGATGCCATTCGGGGCTGTGCTAGCAGAATTTGGAGGCGCAGGTCTGTGTTTATGCCCACTTTCATGAGACGTGATTCTTCAAACTAATCCACATCTGCTTTGTTGTGCTTGTGTGTGTTAGGTGGAGGTGGATGGGTCCACTCAGTTTCTTTCTCAGCCTCTGGGAACCGCCTGGCATGGGTCAACCATGACAGCACTGTCACTGTGGTAGACAGCTCTAAGACTGCCAGGTACTGTCATTTCTGCACCTACAGGGATCTTCTTTAATCCCCCCAATTTTTAAATATTGTGGGGAAAAAAATTATTCACGTTTTGCAAAAAACTAAAAGTAAAGCCGCTTCTTTTTTACAACCATTTTATGAATGTTAGGTCTAAACAGAGGCTTGAAATAAACTTCTATTAAAGATTGCCGTGTTCATCTGTTGGAAAAAAGATCCTAAAATGATCGACATTAAAACTGAAGTGATATCTGTAAAGTTAAATACAGTATTATGGCTAAATAATAATAATACTTTATTTATAAAGCCCTTTAAAACAACCACAGCTGCCACAAATTGCCGTACTCAAGAACATATAAAATAAACTAAACTGGATGCATTGTTTCACTGTGACTGAGCGCAAATGATTCTTTTAAACCAAGCTGGTTTTAAAGGAGCGATTATGTCAAACAACTAATGTCATGAATTAATAAATAATCTAAATAAGTCCCTATTATCAAATTAAAAGTGCTAGTGCACTCATTAAAAAAAAATCAGTCCATTGCATAAAAAGTAAAGAACATGTTTTTATATTTTTTACAAGTGAAAATAGATGTCAATGTATTTTTTTTTAATGTTTTTTACCACATTTTTGATGAATTATAAATGGATCATCTCTGAGTGCTACAGTAAGTTAACAAAAATAAACTCAAGCAATGATTGACAGAGTTCAATATTTTTTAATTAGCTGCGGAAATACAAACCTGTAGTTCAAAGCTAATGAAATTTAAGTTTTTGGTTGCAAATTTGTTATTTTTGTGACAATTGAATGTGTTTATCCTCTGATTTATGTCTCGAATACTGGAGATAAATCTGATGGAAGTTTGTGTGTTTAGTCCCTCGCAGCTGAAGACGGAGTTCCTTCCTCTCCTCAGCATCATTTTTGTCTCAGAGAACAGTCTAGTAGCGGCCGTAAGATTAAGACACACATTAAGTATTTCTATGTACTGACTGGAAGTAATAAAAACACAAAAATGATTTGTCATTTGCATCATCAGGGCCATGACTGTTGCCCCATGCTCTTCCGTTGTGACGATGGTGGGACGTTGACATTTGTGTCGAAGCTTGACCTCCCCAAGCAGAGCATCCAGAGGAACATGTCGGCTATGGAGCGCTTCAGGAACATGGACAAGAGAGCTACCACCGAGGACCGCAACACAACCCTGGAAACACTGCACCAGAACAGCATCACGTAGGTTATATACCATTTATCAACTTTTTAAAAATAAGCTGTTATGAATTAAAACGGTGTTATTTAAATTCTGTAATTTGTATTGATTAAATTAGCTTATTTGTCATAGTTTAGGAGATTGAGAGATCATAGTAAAAAAAATAAAAAATTACTTTGTTCTTGTGCTTCGAGCCTTGAGTGCATATAGAAGCTGTAAACAGATGAAAGTTGAAATGTTTATTTTCTGTACACACAGACGCACAAAACAAAAACGAGAAAGCTCATAATTATTTTGTGACGAGTTGAATTGTATCACCTGTCATTTAAAACTTAAAAAAACGATTACATGTATGCTATCATTGAGTGCAAGCATAAATGGTGGGTTGTGGAATTTTTAAAAATAAACCTGAGCTAACAATAATCCAAAGACATTAAACTGCGATCAAAGACTCCAGATCTGATGTCTGTGCAACAGTAACTCAAAGCTACCCATTTAAAAAAATAACCCCAAACGATGCTGCTATTTAGTGTTTATTCCAGGGCTAGTATCGGTTGAATTTATTTTTAGTTAAATGTTGTTGGTGTGCGTTTATAAAAACCTTCATCAAAGATGTTATAACAATAATTAAAGTGAGCAAAATCTTTGTTTCTAATCTAATAACCAATAAATGTATTAGACACTCAAGGCTCTAGACTGAAAGTAGTCATGTTTTTAGTTTTTTTTATTTGATGTAAAACTGATGTATTTTCAGAGCTGTAACAGAAGCCAGCAGCTTTATTATGACAATGGTAAAGTAATATTGGGAACTTCTGGAAATATTTAAGTACTGTATTTTTCGGCCTATTAGTCTCAGTTTTTTGCATAATTCATGTGCCCTGCGACTTATAGGCCGAAGCGACACATTTATGGATGTTTCCCATATTTATAAACCATTTTTTGGCTCAGATATGACGGTTTCCATTCGTTCAGACTGAACAAAAAAAGTTTGAGCAGTGCCACTTGATGGCAGCAGAGCAGTAAGAGTTTGGCATGCTGTTGTACCATGTAATAGGTAAATGTGACTATGAGAAATTCAAATAAGTTCAAGACAAAAACAACTGGATTTTATTTATTATACTATACTTTATTCTTTATAGTTTTTTTCTTGAACTTTTTTGAATTTACCATGTCCTGGATGACTGAGAATCTTCACCAGTTTTTATTGATGCAATCGGCCTGCCTTCTCCCCACCTTGGTTCTGCTCGCTGCTTGGACCAACCGTCAATCCAGCTGCACCGCCCCGGCGAAATGCAGCTAATTTGACCATTAAAGTGCATTTATTAAGCAAACGTTAGACTGAGACACCTTTGCTATAATTTCGAGCAAACAAATAATTGTTTAGGTGCATTTCTTGTTTATTTTCAGAGAAACGAGCCGCGTTCCTCCTTTTTTTCCTCCCTGTCTGCGCGCTCCCGGGAGCACCTCAGCAGCAAAACTATTTTTGAAATGCAGCTGATTTGACCATCAAAGTGGATTTATTAAGCAAGCGTTAGATTAATGCACACGTTTAATAAAATTTCCAGCAACAAATAATTGTTTTTAAGTGTTAAGCTTGTTAAATTCTTGTTAAAGTCCTCCCCTGCACGCTCCTGCGGCCGCCATTCGTCAGCCCACATTTCTGGGTTATCAGCGGTGACGCGTAGCAAACGAGACGTGTCAGCGGTGATGCATAATAAATGCGACGTAGACGGCAAAGCAACATATTTATGGATTTTTCCACTCTATTAGACAAATATGGACTGATGTGACTTATAGGGCAGAGCAACATTTATGGTGGAAAATACGGTAGCTATGAAATGATAAAGTCTTATTTTATTCCAGTTACATCTTTCAGTGTTGTTGCTCATCATCTATGACTAGTTACCAGCCAAGGTGTAGCAAATCAGAAAAATCCCATCGGTGCCAAAATTCAGCTAAAAATATTACATTACTGAAGAGGAGACATTTTGTTACGAACAGATTGCCAAAAAAATAGATCGACAGCCATGTACTGTTTTTAGTTTTAGGAGGATCTTTTTTATTCACGAGTTCTTGCTCTTTATTTGGTTCTGTCGTTTTTTTAATTATTATTTTTGGGGGGCCTTATATTTGACACTGAACCTGAGAAATGATTCGGTTGGGTTGAAGAGTCACTGCTGTTATGCCTTTGAGCAACTGAGGTAGTCACAGAACTGTGTGTGAAGTAGACATGTATAGTGCTCCAATCTGAACAACTTCTGTCACTGTTGGTTTCACATTGCTCATGTTGTGTGTAGCTGCACACACCGTCTCAGGACTTTATAGGCTTGATTGTCTCGTGTGAAATACTGAAGGCAGCGTACAAAGATGCCCAGCTCATATTGCAGAACCTTATCATGAAAGGAGCTTTAGCCTGGAGCTCAAGGCACAGGCTCTGCCCATTGAAACGACAACTATCAACTGAAAAGCTGACAAAGATGGCTAGCTTGGGTTGTCGAGATCTAGAGTTTGTGCTGGTAGTTTTAGTGATGAATGTTTTGTTAGCTCAGTTCAAACGCAGACAGTGTGGTCTTTTACAGTATATCGTGTGCTGATGTGTTTCGTGATCAATGACTTAGTGGTGGTTTTATACGTGTGCAGATTCTTCCTTCTAAAAGTACAGCGTAATGTTTGTCCTAAGTCTGTGAAAATGTTGTGACCAGTTAATATCTTACTTGTAGATGGCTCTTTTGGAAATGTGGTGTTACATTTTGAGGCGAATGACAAGTTGATGGCTAGTCTGAGAGTCGGGGTTTAATTTGTAAACCGATCGATGCCAGAACGCAGACATTTTGAATAAAGTAGATGCAACTTCCTGCATTTTGGTGTATTTAAACGGGTTGTTAAACATCTACAGTACGTTTACCTACATTTGTAAACACTCCGCTTCTGTCAAGTGTCCCTCCCCGCCACTTGACGGAACCGTCGAGTAAATACGCTGTCCCTGCTCATTGTTGTTTGACTCCACATGTGAACCTGCAGGCGCAGCCGTACAACTGCCTGGTTAGCTCGCCATTCACCCCACCACTGTTTTCGGGGCGGATATTTTTTAAGGGTAGACGCGGAAATGCTACTTGAAGAGGCTGATGATAGTGGCTGTTGTGTTTAAAATTAGTGTTTATGTAATTATTTTCAGTTTACATATCCAGTATAAGTTTAATTCATTCAAGGCAGTCATAGTTGTTCGTAACTTTATTATTAGTAAGCCTGAGAGTTACCGGATCCAAGCTGGATCCTAGCAAACTGGAATGCACCCTGTCAAAATAAGAGTTCTTGGATCCTGTTCCTGCAGGATTCGTCTCGAGCCCTGGTCTGAGTGAAGTCGAGACCAAAATGCATTGCTTTCATCAACTATTCCTGAAAACCTCCATGGCAGTTCATGTTGACACTGTCTTTATAAATTCAGTTATAGCTGTCAGTTTAACATTAGTTATTGACATTTGATTCTGTTTTACAATGCAAGCACAAAGGGTGGCAGCAGCAGCAGCTAGCTGTAGCACTTTTTATACAGCTTGGTGCACTTCTGGCAGGAATATGATATTTCTGGCAGACGATCGATCCCTTTAGGTGTATGGACTTAAAAACACTGTTTACGTCACGTTGTAATATCTGTAAATACACTTCCGTCTTTGTTTTTCGTTTTTAGCCAAGTGTCTATCTATGAGGGAGACAAAAGGGATTGTCGCAAGTTCTGCACCACAGGCATTGATGGAGCAATGACCATTTGGGACTTCAAGGTGCTCATTTTTTTTACATTAACAACTTGTTTGTTTTTCCTCTCGCCTGTTTTCGCACCAACACCCTCTTGTGTTTACTTCCTCAGAGCCTAGAAGCATCTATCCAGGGTCTGCGCATCATGTGAAGACTTTATATGAATGAACAAAGAGAGGCTGTGGGCTCACTTCTCCCTCTTGCTCACCCCACTATCTCAGCCCCTCCACTCGTGAGACGCAGCTAGTAACGTACATAACTGACCACCTTATTGAGTGTCTGAAGCACTGATCAGATCATTGTGGGTGTGCACTTTCACGCTCACAATTACACACACACTCAAAACACTAAACACACTAAGCTCATGTGTGAGATCACTGATATATATTTTGTTTTTTTTGTTTGCTTTAAATAAAGATTAACCAGATGTAAAAGTGGGATGGTTTTCTGACGCTTATTAAACGTGATGTGAAATGTGTGATTTTATGTTCTCTAACCTCCAGCACCAAAATCTGAACAATAAATGGCACGTTCAATCCAAAAATCAAATTGTATTTCTCCACAGAGCAACTTTGACATATTTCAATATAGGTGTTGAGTACTGTACGTTCGATGACGGGATCTGCTTCCTCGCTGGAGGATGGCGATTATCTTTCAGTTCTTGTTTAGTTTAAGACCTGGGGTCGTTGATGCTCTGAATACACGTTGATGGTTGTTTGTTAAAACCTGTACAGAATCTGATGGTGGAGAGGGACAGAAACTGTCTAAACTCTGTGTGGAGTCATGAATGACCAGCTTTGAGCTCTGTAGCTGAAACACACATGATGGAGGATTTCTATGTAACTGATCACGACTTGGACAGGAAATAAAGATGAAGTACATTTACACTACACGACTAACTGGACTGCTTTCTGTAATTGTGTGCGAGTTCTTACAATGAATACATCTGGTAATTATAGCTTCAATATTTCAAAAGCGTTTAATTTCTGAACATTTAAATCATAAATTGGACAGTAGAGGAAATTTGTGTTGTGGTAAGTAAAATGCACATTCTTGAGGCTTGATTCAAGAATACTTGAGATTTATTTATTTTTACTGAAGTTTAATTTTCCTTCACTGTTTTCTATAAACAGATACCAGTATCACAGTACATACAGCATGGTGCAAATGTTTTTAAACCATCTCTAACTTCTTTGCCTCCAATGAGTCTTATTATTTTATTTAAAATTTAATTTTTTTAAAGTATTGATTTTCTAGAAATGTGCTGCTCAATATGGCTGCATGTTAAAGTAGCTCTGTTACATTCATTCTGAGATTTTGCTTTCGAAAACTTTAATTCATCTTTTTCTGGATGTAAATCACTTTTTCAGATTATTTTTTTCTCCATCTGATGCTTCTTGACATTTGTTGTGATGTGTAACCATGACAACAAGGTGTTTTGTTTTTTTGCTATAACTGGGAGCAGCTGATTTTACATCTCGAAATCTCGAATAATATCTCAGCCACAGCCCCAAATCCCAAATGAATTTAAGTTGAAAAGGAGGTGCCGTGGATGCTTTCCCATCTACCTGGAGGTGGCGCTCGAGTGCCTGACTGCCGAGATCCTGGAGCAGGCGGAAAAAGTAACTCATGACAGCGGGAGGACAGAGATCGTCCTCCGGCACCTGCAGTTCGTCCACGGTGACGAGGGGTTCGGTAGGCTGCTGGGAGGAGTGGCCATCGCTCGGGGAGGAGTTCTGTCGGTCATTCAGGCAGTCCTGCTGCCCAAGAGGACCGAGAGGTCTGGGTCCAGGTGGATGGATCAACATGCAGCCAGTTTCTTCAGATCCGCTGTGGGACGAACCGCTACAAGAGATCCTCCATCTACAACAACTTTTTTAATGAAACTAGGGTTATTAGCTACAACAACAATTTACCTTTGGGATTAATCAAGTATTTTTGAATTGATCACTATTTACTGTCAGTTTTTCAATGCCTTTCAACTTTGCATGCTTTTTCCACCCTTGTCTGCCCAGTCTGCACAAGCTCATGGCAACATATTGTGCTTGGAAAATATGGAAGACCAGTGGAGGACAAAAGAGGGGGTCAGGCTTAAGAAGTGTTCTCCCATAGATAAAAAGTATCTGAAGTCATGTCTTTAAAAACAAAAATCCATCAAATACAGGACCTGAGAGATGGATCGTCTTTTGGTGGATCCATTTTTAGCTGATTGCTCATTGGTGCTAAAATACTTTTTTTTTTTTTTTTCCATCCCCCAAAAAATGGGAACAATATCTCTGAGATGGGCTCAGTCCATTGTGCTACGTTGTTACGAGTCAACCGAACACAAAATTATCTCTCTGAGTTTAGGAGCCTTTTTATGCCTAAATTATTCTTGGGTGAAAAATAAGTGGCTCAAAAAATAATAATTTGAATATGGGTTCTGGACAAAAACAGTGGAAAAAGCCAAGTCCAAAGAAAATCCTCGAAAGATTGAAGTAGTACTGAGCAAGACAATTTTAAAATGTTAACTGCTGTAACAATACAGAGAAATGAGGAACGACTTGAGACGAGTACTGGATTGTGATTGTGCACGATAATCTGACACCTTTAAATGAGAATAACAAAAATCTGTCATCTGTTTACTAGTTGTCCTCTGATGTTCTGTCAACATCAGAGATAAGTGCTAAAGGTTTACAAAATGTGAATTCCTGAAATTATAAAAAATATTTTATTCAAATACCACAACAAATCACATAATGTGCGAGTGCAGAATGAAGTGTGTCATCTGAAAGTGAAATTTGAAACATTTTAGGTGGAGTTGACCTGTGCTGCAACACGATAACTAAAAGTTACAGGAAGGACCTGCCGGTAGTTCTTCAGCTACAAACAGCAAATAATTAGTTTTAGACTCTTTAACTTCATATGATGTTTAATGAACTCTAAACAAAGCAAATGAACTTAATGTCTGAGCACGTGTTTCTAAAAAGGAACAAATTGGTAAATGGAAAAGAAACTTGAGAATCTGAACAGACTGAAAATAAGTCTGTGTCAAAAACAACTCCATCACATTGAGCACTGGTTCCACTCCAGGCTGAGTGTTGAGCCCCCTCTATACACACATGAACTATACTATCCACTCCCCCCACAGTACAACCCTCAGGTCTGCTGACGACACACTGTTCTGATTGATCCCTGGAGGAGATGCTTACAGAGAGGTTTGTGCACACTCCAGATGGTGTGTAGACGGAAACAACCAAGCACTCACCATCATTAAATCCAAAGATCCTGGCCTTCAGGAGCCACAAGGACAATCCTTTTGCACTACTCATAAATATGAAGGAAGTCGAGAGGTCCATCATGTCAGAATTCCTTAGTACCATCTCATGGATCCTCTTCTGATCTGCAAATACAACTGCAGTAATTAAAGGATATAGAGGTTTGAACTAAGATGTGGCATGATGGGATTAGGATTATTGACTACTTCACTTTTGTGTTGGCAAATGTTAACTAGCTGTGATGGCCATCAGATGTCGATGTACATCCAGTAATTACTTTATGTAAGTTTTAATCATCTAGTGCAGGGGTGCCCACACTTTTTCAGCATGCGAGCTATTTATAAAACGACCAAGTCAAAGTTTATTTATTTATTTATTAACCTTTATTTAACCAGACAAACCCCATTGCGACCACAGATCTCTTTTGCAAGGGAGGCCTGGGCCTGAAGGCAGCCTAACATGCATGTTTATGGTCTGTGGGAGGAAACCGGAGTACCCAGAGAAAACCCATGCATGCACGAGAAGAACATGCAAATGCCACACAGGTCCAACCAGGGATTGACCCCAGGACCTTCTTGCTGTGAGGCAACAGTGCTAACCCCTGAGTGGTAGTGCTCAAAGTGATTTACCTACTATAAGGCCCTGTTTACACAAGAACAACCTCTGGAAGCGTTAGTGTTTTTTTCTTTTACTTGTCTGCTGGATTCCGTAGATGCGAACTTGACTAATTGGCTTTTATGTATGTGAATGTTCCTGTAAAGTGCCCTGAGACAACTTTGTTGTGATTTGGCGCTATATAAATAAACTGAATTGAATTGAATTATGTTTATTGGGGGGTAAAAACCAAAAAAATGATCAGGTTTACATGAAAACGCTGTAGTTTCCATGTTAGTCGGGTTGCCAGATAAGAAAATATGAACTGTAGCACTGTGACTTTAAAATGATAGTATTTTGGCCTAAACTGTCATATGTGCTGAGTAAATTTATTCTAAGATGAGTTGTATGCTGTGTTTGTTGAACATGTGCACAGAAAAGAAAGGGGTAAATAAGACTTTTTAAGTTTATCTGGCAACCCTGATGACCGGGCTCAGCTGTATTCATTGCGCATGCAGCGTCTGCATGATAGTTACATCCAAACTGGGGAATACACTGGATTTTATTAGTTTTCTCCTGCATGCTGAAGAATGGTGAGAAGCACAAAAAAAACCCACTCTGCTCTCTGCCATTTATTATAACTGGTGTTAGTGCAGAAAAACTTTTAACAACAGCCACCTGGAGTGCGCATGTGCGACTTCATATTTGTGGAGCATTTCACACCTCTGTGGGGGTTCCCCCGGAAAATCTCTACTCTGACCTGCATTCAGAAACCTTCGAGAATGAGGGTTGTCATGTAAATGAACAGCTGAACCTCAGCAGAGACTGGCTGCCCTGTATGTCAATCAAGAGGCAACTTTCATATAGTGAGGATGGATGATTATGGAAGACAGAATGTGACTTAATAAAATAAATAAATACATAATAATGAAATGCATAATTTCAATATTAAATACATAATTAAATACACAATTAAATATACAATTAAATTATTTATTTCATGATTTATTTACTTGATTTTGTCACATTCCACCCTCGTGTGTCACCATGAAATGATGTTAACTGTCAGTCTCACTCTCAAACTCAGTGGGCGGGACTAACTTTTCCTCAGAGAGCTTCTTCCTTTGCTGCTTCTCACATAAGCGTGTCTTTTTTACATTCATCCATCCATCCATCCATCCATTATCTTTACCCGCTTATTCCATTTTGGGTCACGGGGGTCGCCGGTGCCCATGTCCAGCAATCACTGTGCGAGGGGTGGGGTACACCCTGGACGGGTCGCAAGTCCATCACAGGGCCACATAGAGACAAACGAGACAAACAACCATTCACTCTCTCACTCACACCTAGGGACAATTTAGAGTTACCAATCAGCCTAACATGCATGTTTTTGGTCTGTGGGAGGAAACCGGAGCACCCGGAGGAAACTCACGCATGCACGGAGAGAACATGCAAACTACACCCAGAAAGGCCCCTGGACCGGGGTTTGAACCAGGAACCTGCTCGCTGAGAGGCAGCAGCTCTACCAGTTGCGCCACCGTGCCGCCCTCTTTACATTCATGGTATGAAAAAAGGTTTCATCCAAATACACGTAAACACAATTACCGATTACTAAAGTTTTGGAATGTATTTTCTGGCCTGTGGCTCAGTCTGCGGTTAGTCTTCGCTTGCTGTGACGAGCAGCCAGTCAGGGTTAGAGTTAGTCCCGCCCACTGAGTTTGACGAGTGAGACTGACAGTTAACATACAGTAATTTCATGGTGTTACTGGAAGACCGAATGTGACAAAATTAAATAAATAAATCATGAAGTAAATAATTTAAAAGGTACATTTCATTATTTAATGGTGTATTTAATAATTAAATAATACATTTAGTTGTTATGTTTGTATTATGTATTTATTTATTTCATTTTGTCACATTCTGTCCTCCATAGATGATATGTATACAGGACGGAACAAAATGAAATAAATAAATGCATAATACATATATAACAATCATGAAATAAATAATTTAACTGTGTATTTAATAATTTAATTGTGTATTTAATTATTTAATGATGTATTTAATAATTAAATGATACATTTCGATATTATGTATTTACTTACACTGTATTTATTACATTCAGTCACATTCCATCCTCCACATAAAGGCTGACATCTATTATTTTAATGCCATGAAATCTACCCATAATACCTTTGCGATCAACCGGTAGATCGCGATCAACGTATTGGGCACCCCTGATTTAGTGGTTTGTGAGATATTTTGTTGACAGACTACAGACATGAGTACAAACATTATTGTCCACCAAAGTTCATGCTCAGTAATCCAGGTAAAGAAATCCAACAATGTTCATTCACATCATCTGGACAGTTGCTTTTTTTGTTGACAGACGTTTTGCCCTCCATCCGAAGGGCTTCATCAATCTGAGAAGTCACATACAAACTGTTTTCCCCACCAAGCAGTACACTCCTACAGTGGACCAACTGGCTGGTCCACATTGTTAGATTATTGTCCACCGTTGCTTTTGTGTTGATATACCTGTAAATACAGGCAAAAGCTTTGTCATGTTGGACTTCTACCTAAAATCAAATGTCTACCTCAAAACAGTGTGGTACGCTGGCTGCCCAGACACAGGCCAGAAGGTTCAGAAGGTCAGCCGGCCCCTCCAATCTGGCACGCCCCCTCCTCCGGTGCCGGCCCTCTTCCTCGTCGACAGTCATTTCAAACTGGTTCCAAACCAACAAAGTCCATGCTCAATAATCCAGGTATACAATCCAACAACTTTCAGTCAGGTCATCTGGACAGTTTCTTTTTTTTTTGTGCTGAAACGTTTCACCTTCCATCCAGAAGGCTTCATCAAGATGAATCCAGATGAACCATTGACTCTTCTGCCCTCTGGGAGGTAGAGTTGCACTCGGGTCCAAAAATCCGACCCGGCTTCAGCCCACAGCCATCGTCTCCGAACCCCACCAGATCCCACGAATTAACGGTAATTACAGGTCCGAACCCGAAAAACATATCACTGACTATTATTAACGGTTGGTGGACACGCGCGGCTGAGTAAAGAGGGCAGAAGATCAGAGCTGAGGAGCCATCAAAGTACATTAAATGCTTCCCCTGCTTCTGCCCGCATTGAACCCTGACATGTCAGGTATTTTGTGATCTCACCCGTTTGGGTCGTCAGCCGTGCCCGTCCGCTGAGTGCAGCAGCTGAATGAACGTCCGTTTGGGCAATGGATCGCTGGCAGTAGTCCATCTGAAGCTTAACTGAACTTTTTACCTCTTTCTACTGACCGGTCAGCGTGCGGTCAAATGGCCACGTGCGACATGCGGGTGCAGTATTGGATCATAGGCCGCACACGTCCCTGACGCAATAAAAAGCCCGACACAGACCCGGCCCACACATTAAGCACCTTATTATGAATCGACCCGGTTCGAATCCGAGTTAGGCGAGGCCGGGCTCCGGTTAGAAATTACAATTTTACTGGGAGGTGATACAAGAACTTAAACGTATAACAGACTTTAAAATAACTTCTTTCCTTGACCTATTACAAATTTTAAAACTGAACTGACCACCTGACTTTTACTGCTATTTAAAATCTTAATGTTTTTTTTTTTTTGTTTGTTTTTTTCCAATTGGCCCTGCTCTCACATTATGGGTTGCATGTTTTTGTTCACACCGTTTCAGTTGGACTGCTGGCATAACGTCAAAGATGCTTTAAAATAAAGATACTTCAAAACAAGGTCTATGAACTTTTTTGCCTCCATGATGCCATCCTTTCTTCTCTACTTTTTAATGTTGTCCTCCTCCTTTTCCAGTTCTTCCTCTTTATGCACAAGTAACTATGACCCTCCCCCATTTTCCAGTTTCTTTCATGCTGTTTTGCCTCCTTTCTTCTTAGTCTCCTCCTCCTCCTTTTTGTTACATTGAATTTTTATGCTCCTCCCTTTCCTGCTTTTTTGCCAGTTAACATTTCTTTTCACCTCAGCTTGTGTTAAACAAAATAAACCTGTTTATTCCCCATTAAACTCACACAGTCAGTCTAAAGCTCAGAGAGGCCCACTTCCTGTATGTCTGAGTTCCTGTGCCCTCCTCCACTTCCCCTTCAAACTTCTCCTCCCTCTCTCTCAGCTCAGCTCCTCTCTTCCTGAGCTCACTCTTGTCGTTGGCGTTCGCGTTGACTGGCCAGAGTCCGCGAGCTGAACACCCTCTTGATCCACCACCTTCCTCTGCCATTCTTTTTCCTTTCTGTCTCCCATCTCAGCAGCTTTGTACCCGTTTATCTCTGGCCTGCCCTCTGGGTAAGTAGCCTGTTTGTGTTTTCCTGGTTCCCTGAACATGTCACACGCCCACATGCACAAATTGTAAGAAAACTAAAGTATACAGCCTTAAATCAGAGCAAGTAAATGTGATTATTATGTAATGTTTGCTTTGTGATCTTTGTTTTTCTCCTTTTTTTTTCCCTGTTTGAGCTGAAACTGTTGTGTAGTTTGTTACCCTTGACCTGCATATTTCTTTACATGCGTCTGAAAGTCTGGATTTCATTAAAACAACATGATAAAGATAAGTTTAGTGTGTTTCCCAGAGTTTAGAGCAGCAGATGGTGTTCAACTTCTCAAACACTTTCAATCATCTAAAGCTGTAATGTTACCAATTTACAAATTATGTACTACTATTAATCATGCCCCGCCCTCCCTCATCGCTTCATCCTTAATGTATTCTTTCATTTTTTAACTGTACTATTGTTCTCCCAGCCCACCAGCTCCTGGTTCCTCTTTCCACTTCCTGGTCTGATTCTGACATCTGATTGGCCATGGCGTACCATAGCTTCCTGCTGGAACCAATTAGTTGTCATGCTTGGAACAAAGATCGGTCCCGTAAGTCCTTCCACCAACTCTGACCTTCACGTTTGCCTTAAACTTTGTCTCATCTTTGATCTGTTTAAAATCACACGTGCGTAGCTGGAGTTTCTGAAGAAGAAGTGTCATAGAGGTCTGTGATTGGCTCCCAGGTGGAAGAAGGTATTTCCTGTTTCCTGTAATGGTCAGGGTGTCGTCTGGGCCTTTCTGAGAGGCCTTTGTGCTCCGTTAGTTGGAGGAAACTATTGCCTTATTTGGCTGTTTTGCTCAGCACTTTGGTTTCTGTGAAAAGCGGACGTAGCAGACTACGGCGCTCGAGAGTCACCGTTAGTTTCACGCACTTTGCGGCCTTGAGCTGAATCATCTTTTGGCCAAAAATATACATTACAGCACACAGTAGTTCTTAGACAAACAATTCTTCTGACTCATCTCCAGACTAAAACACATGGGTTTTGCAAGTTTATGGAAAAAAGATCCACGTGAAGTTCCTTTACAATGTCTGTTTTAAGACGGCTAATGTCTATACCCTCAGGCAGACACGTACTCTTATTTCTGTAGCTTTCTCTGGAGGCAGGCAGCTGATCCATGGTCCACTTCACCGATCATCTCACTCTGCTATGCTCTTTCACTGATGAGTTTCCTCTTTTTATTTTTCTAACCATTTGCAGCAGCACCTGTTTATTGTAGTGGAATTAAGTGTTTTCTTTTCCCCCCATCAGAAATTGCCCTGTGCCCCAACAACCATGAGGTTCACATCTACAAGAAAGATGGGACCAAGTGGACCAAAATCCATGAGCTCTTGGAGCACAATGGACAGGTGACAGGTGAGACTCATTCTAGTTCCATAATTTACTGCCTTAACTTCTTCTCTTTTTGGTCTAAAACAAACATTTATGACCGTATTTTCCGGACTATAAGTCACACCGGAGTATAGGTCTCATCAGTCAAAAAATGCCTCATGAAGAGGAAAAAAAATTAAAAAGTCGCTTCGGAGTTTAAGTTGCATTTATTTAGAATGTATTTCACAAAGTGCAAGAAGAGACATTTAATCTGAAATAACAATAACGCACAGAACATACTTGAGATCCTGAACAGGCTTAATTAGCATAACAAGCTAACGAGTTCGACAAGCATGTTACAGGTAAGTTCACTAATCTCATTCCACATCACTTTTAGGGGCATTTTATTGTGTTAAGTGGTAGAGGAACAATATATACTGTAGTTGTCAAAAGCCTAGAGGGCCCTCTCGCGGCAGCAAATGGTAAAGTTTACTCTTTGGTTCATGTCAGTATGAATGAACATTTTAACGCATATGTCAAAAATTGCTTCATGAATGGGGAAAAAACGTATACAAGTCGCTTTGGACTATACGTCGCAGGACTGGCCAAACTATGAAAAAAGTACGACTTATAGGCTGGAAAATACGGTAGTTATTAACATCTTTTTTTTCTTTTTGGCAACTAAGCACTCAGTCCACCAAACGAAAATAATTGGCAGAATATATTTTGAACCTGAAATGCTTTTCTTGGAATTTTGTGTTAAATGTGACCAATTCTACAACTTTTTGGTCTTCTTTTATTTAATAGGCATAATTAAAACTTTTAAAGAGTACAAAAAAGATAATATAGACTTTGATACTCGTACAAAATATGCATTTTAATGCTTACTGATAAGTTTTTATGGATTTTAGGCCTTGTCTATACAAACACAGTTTTCAAAACAATTTCTTTTTATTTACACAAGTTTGTCAAAAAATCTTTCTCCACACAGAAACATTGATAATGAGCCAAAACAACATTATATGCCAGGCAGAGTTTGGCACTGCTCCAGAAATACACCCAAAACAAAAATGAGTGGAGTATGAAAATAAGTTTACACACTGCATGCAAAATGTAAACGCTACAAGAAGAGGACGCTGTCAGGTTTTAGGTTATTAGGTTACACTGGAGGTGGGACATCATAGAGAAAAGGGTGTGTTTTGGTCGTCTACAATAATCAGGGGTTCCCAACCCTGGACCTTGAGGAACACCGTCCTGCATGTTTTAGTTGTTTCCTGCTAAGACACACCTGATTTTAATAAATAGGTGATTAATAGGCTTCAGCAGAATGAGAGGAAGTAATTAAATCACTGTATCAAGTGTGTTGGAACAGGGAAACAACAAAAACATGCAGGATGGTGTTCCTCAAGGAACAGTGTTGGGAACCACTGAAAACCCCATAGGTAGTGTTTCAAGATATTTTTTTTTTCTCTGGAACCTATTTTCAGAAAAGAAAAATTGAGGGGCTGATAAATTGCTGTTTCCTTGTGGATGCAAGACCTGACCTGCAAGACGATAAAGAAAGAAACAAAAAAACACGTTTGAGTATTTACAAAAATCTTTCCCATGACTCTACACAGAGTCTGGTTTCCTCATTTTCAGCAAAGTGAGATGGAAGATGATGATTCATTGTGGCGACCTCTAAAGCAAACGTTTAATGCAGTGGATAGTTTCCTGCTTTCAATCCGGGTGATTTAGGGTTCAACCCCCACAGTTGGACAGTCAGAAAAAAACAACACAATTTAAAAACAATATGTGCAACCTCTGAAGAGGGAACAGCTGAAAGGAGACGTGTTAAACGTGTAAGCTAAGTGCTGGCTGAGGCTTTCTATTCATTATGCACAAATCAAACAGGATCTTTGGTTTCCCACAGTTATTTCCACTTCCCATCTGTGACACACGCTTTAAAATAAATCTCTGTATGAACCAAAATTGGGCCAAAATAACACTGAACCTGAATTATGCTAAATAAGTGTAATATAAATATATTACTAAAATCCTATTGGTAACAGATGTTCTGAATATTGCGTCTATCAGACAGTTGAAGAGTTTGTCTCCCTGCAGGTATTGACTGGGCTCCAGACAGTAACCGTATTGTCACCTGCGGCGCTGACCGTAATGCCTACGTGTGGACCCTGAAAGAAGGAGCGTGGAAGCCCACCCTGGTCATCCTCAGGATCAACCGCGCTGCTCGCTGTGTCAAGTGGTCCCCGAAAGAGAACAAGTTTGCTGTTGGCAGCGGCTCGAGGCTCATCTCCATCTGCTACTTTGAGCAGGAAAACGACTGGTAAGGCATTCCTGTATCAATTTGAAATGAAATGTTAAATTTAGTTGATAAAAAATATATACAGTTTAGGAAGAAATAGTACAAAAGTGTTGTTGTGTGTAGGTGGGTGTGCAAACACATCAAGAAGCCAATTCGTTCCACCATCCTGAGTTTGGACTGGCATCCTAATAACGTCCTGCTGGCTGCTGGATCCTGCGACTTCAAATGCAGGTATTTGACTCCTGAGCTAATTCTTTTGGACTCTGGTGGTTCCTACAGTTTGGGGCAGGACCTTACTGTGAGACGTGAAACACCAAGAGGAAGGGTCTTGAGAAATCAGATTAAACCAATTATCAGCATGGTTTTGTCTTTTTTGTTACAACACAATAAAATCAGAGTTATTAGTATAATGTACTTGAGTTGTATTTTCACCCTTGTTAAATGATTTTTTTTTTTTAGTAATGTTTGGACATTTCAACTAGCAAGAGTTGAAGTTTCCGCCACTGTTATTTTCTGGGTTATAAATGAAAAGTTTGGGAACAATCAGAGCAATCTCAGTTTGGAGAATCATGGAGAGACTTTCATAACTGAATAAAGCTAACGGCTCAAAACAAAGTTTATTTTAATATCATTTTTATTTAAATATCATATTAAAACAACCAAGGTTGACCACAGTTCTTTCCAGTCAAGCCAGACAACAATAGAAAATATGAAAGCAAACAAAAATATGAATAAAAAGACAATAAAATGTACATATAACACGGATTTTAAAATAAAAACATTATATGAAGAATGTAAATGAACTTGTTTCAACACATCTGGCCTTTAATGCCATATGTACTGTAAATGATTATCTGATGCAAAGGTGGCACATTGTGAAAAAAATACAACAAAAATTATACTTTAACAGATATGATTATTTTAGGTTTTAGTTGTTTAAGTGAGCAGAAATGCACTCTTGAAAGAGCCCTGCTTTGAGAAGAGGCTAGCTTGACTCCCCCATGTGATTATCACCCTGATTCTCCAAATTTAGATTGCTCCGTTTACTATCCACTGCAGGTAAAACACTGACTGCTCATAATTCAATTCAGTTCAGTTTATTTGTATAGCGCCAGTTCACAACAGAAGTCATCTCAGGGCACTGAACAGAAACATTCACATCCATAAAAATCAGTAACAATGTTTATATAAGGAACCAGCAGATTGCTTCAAGTTTACTTTTCATCAGTCTCCCATCCTAAGCGAGCACAGAGGCAACAGTGGAAAGGAAAAACTCCCTCATGAGGAAGAAACCTTTAGCAGAACCAGGCTCAGGACAAGCGGCCATCTGTTTCGACCGGCTGAGTTTGAGAGGAACAGGAAGGAGGAATGAGCAAATGGCAGTCAAGGATGGAGGCCATCATGATGGAGGCCATCATGTTTTTCTCTAGGAGGAAAGACAAAAAGACAGAAATCACATGTTAAAAAAAGAATAATTACAAATGCAAACTATTCATTTGATGAAATGAATTAAATTTGTCCTTCAGTAGTCTAAGGTTATAGCAGCATAAACCGACTGACTGTAGGAATTATTAAAAAGGAAAGTCTTAATCCCAGTCTTAAAACTGGACAATGTGTCAGCCTCACAGACAGAAACTGGAAGTTGGTTCCACAAGAGAGGAGCCTGATAACTGAAAGATCTTCCTCCCATTCTGCTTTTGGAAACTCTAGGAACCACAAGTAAACCTGCAGTCTGAGGCGAAGTGCTCCGTTAGGAAAATATGGAACAATAAGCCCTGTAATATAAGATGGAGCTAGGTTGTTGAGGGCTTTGTAGGTTAGAAGTAAGATTTTGAATTCTATTCTGGATTTGACAGGGAGCCAATGGAGAGAAGCTAAATCTGGAGAGATATGATCTCTCCCACTAACTCCAGTTAAGACTCTGGCAGCAGCATTTTGGATCAACTGAAGACGTTTTAAAGAAATATTTGGACACCCAGATAATAAACCATTGCAATAGTCCAGTCTAGACGTGACAAATGCATGGACCAGTCTTTCTGCATCATTTTCAGATAAGATGTTTCTAATGTTATTGATCTTACGCAGGTGGAAGAAGGCAGATCTAGTAACGTTTTTAATGTGGGGGTTAAAACACATGTCCTGATATGTTCATAAGTCCTCAACACAACCTTGGTTTAATGCACCTCTTCTTCTGCACAGGGTGTTCTCAGCCTACATAAAGGAGGTGGAGGAGAAGCCCGGCCCGACTCCCTGGGGCAGCAAGATGCCGTTTGGGGAGATGCTGTTTGAGTCTGGAGGGTCCGGAGCTGCAGCTCAGACCTCAGGAGGAGGAGGAGGAGGAGGGTGGGTGCACAGTGTGTGCTTTTCACACTCTGGAAACCGCCTGGCCTGGACCTCCCATGACTCCACGGTGTCAGTTGCAGAAGGAGGCAAGACGAGCACGTAAGCAAGGGGGGGAGGGCAGTGGCAGGTCGGCATGTGTTTAAGTATCGGACTTTTGACCTTCTGTCATAACTTTCCCAGAGTGAGCAGTCTGAGCTCTGAAACTCTTCCTCTGCTGTGTGTTACCTTCATCACTGAGAGCAGCTTAGTGGCAGCTGTGAGTATTCATCTCCTATTTTAAACAGCCGTGTAAAAACACATTTTCTGCTTTTTGATTTCAACGTCACGTTTGTAGAACACAAACTCTTTCTGCGTCTCCAGTTGTGTAAAATGTTTAAACAAGCTTTTTGCTGTAGAAAACACTCATCAGATTTATTCTCATTATCTAAAGCTGAATGAAAACTGGTTTGTGTCGTCTGGTGGCTGCGTGTGGATTGTTGTAATAAAATGCATCAACTGGAACTAAACTAAGCTTTGCGAAAGATGGCACAAATAAAACTTGTGGCCTTTGCCATGAGCAAGAAACATGGAAACATAAAGAGAGGTATTTTTCACCTGGTTACATTATGATTATTGTATCAGCTCAAGATTAGTCTTTGTTTCATGAGGCATGACTGTCTCAGACGAGTTGACGAGGGAGAGGGCGGGGCCCAGAGTCCATCTTTGCACCAGCAAAGTGTTTTTTTTTTGTTTTTTTTCCACTATGGAGTATGCTGTTTGTGGAAATCAGTTTTGTTCGGTGGCTTCCCAGATCGAGGAAGTCCTTTGGATGAAGGACGAAATGTCTCAGCAAAAAGCTAAACCATCCAGATGACCTCACTAAACATTTTTGGAAAGATTAGTCTTGTTTTATTTCATTGGAAACAGATTGTTGTTCAAAAAATGCAACATAAGTGGGAAAAGTCAGGACGTTTTGGGGAAAAAAATCGTCTTAATTTAAAAAGAAAATTGATAAAAGCACATCTGTTAAATTCTTTAAAAGCACATACTAGATGTGTTTAAAAATTGTTTGCTGAAAAAAAATGTGCCAACAAAATCTTCATAACGGATTTCTTTTTTTTTTTTTTTTTTTATTATACGTTTGTAATTCTTCAGGGCCACGACTGCTTCCCAGTGCTGTTTGTATATGATGGAGCCAAAGGCATCTTGACATTTGGAGGCAAGCTGGACGTCCCCAAGCAAGCAGCCCAGAAGGGCATCAGCGCCAGGGAACGTTTCCAGAACTTGGACCGCCGAGCCTCAGAGACTCAGAGCAGCGACAAGGATCTGAACACGCTGCACAAGAACAGCATCAGGTCAGGAGAAAACGAGTTCTCAGGAAACTTCACATACGATCCATTTCTCACCACTATTAAAACGCCTAACGCACAAACAACGTTTCAGTCAAATCTCCGTGCTCGGTGGAGGAAGAAACCAGTGCTCCAAGTTCTGCACCACCGGCATGGACGGAGGAATGACCATCTGGGATGTCAAGGTAGCTCTCTCATACAAACGCATGCAGCCATGTTGGGTCCTAATTATATGAGATCTCATATTCTTCGTTGTCTTTTCAGACTCTGGAGTCTGCAATGAAGGGCTTGAAGATAGTGTGAGCTGAAGTTTACATTTCTCTCATCAAAGCTGGTTTGCTTTTGGAGACATGAAGACTGCCGTCATGTTACGCAAACTACTTTGCTTCTTTTTTAAAATTTTTTTAATCAAGGATATTTTCATACCAGTTAAACAAACGGTGATTGTAAACCCTCTGAAGCGCTTTGTTGGCTCATTTATCTCAAAGCTGGACACAGAAGGTCTGACCTCAGATCTGCAAATGGTACTTAATGTGTTTTTAAGAAGTGCTCTCCAGAAGATTTCAGTCTGAGCTGGATGTTTAACACTGCTTTTTATATACTAATGACAATTGAATGCTGTAATACTTATATTAAAAGCTTATGCTGGTCATATTATGCATTTAATAAATGATCTCTTGGTCACAACTCTCACCAGAACATTGCCAATGGGTCTGTGATGGTTTTACAGTTGTTTTCCTAAAAAACCTAATGAGGCATTTTAAGTAGATCTAACTAGTTTCACTGAAACTGAGAATGGGCGGTGGTGCAGTTGGTAGAGCTGCCGGCTCTCGGCAAGAAGGTCGCAGGATCAAAGAATCTAGAAGCTTCTAGTTTATGTATCCTCCAGGAGCAATTTGAGATAAGTTGGCCTGTCCAAGGCTAGCGGGGAGGCCAGATTCAGATAAACAGCAATTATTTGGGCCGCCAGACTCTGTCTGCCTTCAAGTTCTGCTGGTACACTCAATGGCGAATCCAGACAGCCAGGTCTGTGGACATTCCACATGTTCCGTGCTCCATTAGCTTTCTCCAAGTTTGAAACCTTCATGCCAGCGAGTTCTAGGAGCCGCAAGTGGCCTACGATTCTCAGAAATAGCATCAAGCATATTTTTTTGATGATTGTTTCCTCTGGTATCGGATGCTGTGCAGCTGGAAGGATTTTTACTGAAATTTTTTTAGTTTTGGACATTTGTGATGATGCGTAACCATGGCAACAAGACAGTTTTCTACAACAACAGCAGCTGATTAACATCTCAAAAGCTCAAATAATCTCTCAACTACAGCCCCGAATCTCAAATGAGTTGAAAAGGATGTTCTGTGGATGTATTCTCATCTACCTGCCAGCTGTGCTCGAGTGCCTGACCACTGAGATCCTGGAACTGGCAGGAGACACGACTCGTGACAGCGGAAGGACAGGATCGTCCCTCGGCACCTACAGCTGGCTGTCCGCAGCAACGAGGAGCTCGGCAGACTGCTGGGAGGAGTGGCCATCACTCTGGGAGGAGTTCAGCCCAGCATTTGGAGGGTACTACAGCCGGGAGAAACCGAGAGGCCAGCTGAGTCTGGGTGGACAGATCAGACGGCATCTGCAGCCAGTTTCTTAGGATCCACTGTGGGATGGACCTTTACAAGAGATCCTACAGCCATCAGTATCTATAACACCTTTTAATGAAATGAGGATAACGAGTTACAACAACAAATAATTTCCCTTTGGGATAATAAAGTATATTTGAATTTGAAGCATATGGTTGAGCTCGTTACGCATATGAGTCTAAGAGCTCAAGGCATGAATTAATCCTTCACATAAGGCTGGCAGCTTTACCATAGCCGAAACTGCTGCCCATGTCTTCTGCCTTTGTCTATTTCCTACGTATCCGTCGATTCCAAAAAGCAGGTGTTATCATAAATCCAATAATGTACACATCTTCTACATCCTCCATGGACAGCACAGATAGGCACATCATCTTCTAGTCCCCCTCGGAATCAATGACGTACCCAGCTTCATGGGTCCGTTCAGGGCATTAGTGCTCTCCAGCACCCTGTTGTCTGGTGGAATTTTTTTTAATCAATTGCGTTAAGGGACCAGCTGACCAAATTCATAATAATTTTTGATTCAGAAGATGTGGAAAAGAGAGGCTCTGAGGTTGACAGGACAAGAGAGCAAAAAGCAGGAGGGAAGGAGAGGGTAAAAGTGATCGACTTTGTTGAGAGCGAAAAAGAATGAGCAGATCTATCAAGCCAACAGAGTGTTCACTCCTCAAGGCTGCTATCAGGTGGAATAGATGAAACTCGTCCTTGAAAATCTTTTATTAATTTATTTAGTGTCCTGTGTGAAACAGTTTTTAATGTTGTAGGCAGGGTATCCTGGACCTACACTGTATACAGAAAACCAGGAGGTGAAATGATCTGACCTGAAGTTGGACACAGTTTTCCAGATTTCAGATCAGGCAATGCAAACTTTACCTGGAGCCCAAATGGTCATGGTCAAAACACACCACAAACAACC